TCCTGATCCTGAACCTGAGACCTGAGACTGAGACCTGAGACCTGAGACCTGAGACCTGAGACCTGAACCTGAGACCTGAAACTGAGACCTGAAACTGAGACCTGAGACCTGAGACCTGAGACCTGAGACCTGAACCTGAGACCTGAAACTGAGACCTGAACCTGAGACCTGAAACTGAGACCTAAACCTTAGACCTGAGACCTGAACCTGAATCTGAACCTGAGACCTGAGACCTGACACCTGACACCTGACACCTGAACCTGAGACCTGAACCTGAGAGACCAGTGCATTCTGGGAAATGAAGTCCAGCTGAGCTGATCTGTCTCTGCAGGTCTGAGGGATGAGGTACTGCAGTACTCGTGGGGGGGTCCGGGGACTGGACTTTAAGGAGGTCCTGTTCTCAGGTTTTGCTCCTGATGGGGGGATGTTTATGCCAGAGACGGTCCCGGTCCTCAGTCCGGACACCCTGAGGAGCTGGAGGGGTCTGCCGTACTCCAGACTGGTCCTGGAGGTCTGCTCTCTCTTCATCCCAGCAGACCTGGTCCCCAGAGACCACCTGGAGGGTGAGTCCAGCTGTTCCAGGTAGCCAATCAGAGCTCAGCGTTTCACTAACACAGCCTCTGTCTCAGGTCTGGTCTCAGAGGCTCTGTCGGGCTTCTCCGTACCTGAGGTGGTCCGGATACGTGGACTCAGAGACGGTCTGTGGGTCCTGGAGCTGTTCCACGGGTCCACGTTGGCCTTCAAGGACCTGGCTATGACCTGCACCGTCCAGTTCACCAACTACTTCCTGCAGCAGGAGAACCGCAGAGCYGTGGTTCTGGTTGGTAAGACCCGGGTCTGGGTTCCTCTCAGAGTGTGAGGGATTCTACTTCCTGTTTGCTTCAAAATAAAAGTTTGAATGTTGTAAACCCAAAGTGTTCTCCAGTGAAACCTGCTGAGGTTCTGAAGGTCCGTCTGTGGTTCTGAAGGTCCGTCTGTGGTTCTGCCGTCCTCACAGGGACATCTGGAGACACGGGTGGTTCTGCTGTCCACAGTTCTAAAGGTCTTCCTGGTCTGGATGTCCTGGTGGTTTTTCCTCGGGGCCGCATCACGGCGGTGCAGGAGAGACACATGTCCACCTGTTTGGAGGACAACGTCCACGTSTTCTCAGGTAGACCCTGTCCTCTGGTCTGCAGGTGGTCCGATGGGACCCTCAGAGACCTGAAGTCTGGTTTTTATCCCCTCAGCTGAMGGCAGCTCAGACGACATCGACCAGTCTCTCCGTCGTCTCTTCGCTGATCAGGACCTGGTCTCGTCTCAGAACCTGATGAGCCTCAACTCTGTCAACTGGTCCAGGGTCATGGTCCAGGTGGCCCACTTCCTGTACGCCTACCTGGAGCTCAGCGGGCTGGAGAGGACCGAGGCGGGGCCGGACCTGCCGGAGCTGGAGGTGGTGGTTCCAACTGGGGGGGCGGGGAACATCACAGGTGGGTCTGGACCAAAAGAGTCCGTCTCTGATCCAGTTTTAGATTTAGCATCTAGGTTTCAGCTCCTTCAGCTGTTTTCAGCAGTTTATTCAGCTGATTTCAGCTGTTTTCTTCAGCTGATTTCAGCTGTTTTTCTTAGCTGATTTCAACTGTTTATATGATTTCAGCTGTTTTCTTTAACTGATTTCAGCTGTTTTCTTTAACTGATTTCAGCTGTTTTCTCATATGATTTCAGGTGTTTTTAAGAGATTTCAGCTTTTTCTTCAGTTGATTTCAGCTGTTTTCATTAGCTGATTTAATCTGTTTTTGTTGGCTGATTTCAGCTGTTTACTTTATATGATTTCAGCTGTTTACTTTATATGATTTCAGCTGTTTTCTTTAACTGATTTCAGCTGTTTTCTTTAACTGATTTCAGCTGTTTTCTTTAACTGATTTCAGCTGTTTTTTAACTGATTTCAGCTGTTTTCTTTAACTGATTTAAGCTGTTTTTTAGCTGATTTCAGCTGTTTTCTTTAGTTGGTTTCAGCTGTTTTTTTAGCTGATTTCAGCTGTTTTCTTTAGTTGGTTTCAGCTGTTTTCTTAGCTGATTTCAGCTGTTTTCTTTAGTTGGTTTCAGCTGTTTTTTTAGCTGATTTCAGCTGTTTCTTCAGCTGCCTACATCTTGAAGCTGATGGGTGTACCTCTGAAACTGGTTGCCATGGTGAACGCTAACGACGTCGTTCACCGGACCGTGACCAGTGGAGACTTCTCCATGGCCTCAGCCGTCACACGGACTCTGGCTCCGGCTATAGATATTCAGGTAAACATCATGTAAACAACCTGTAAACATCATGTAAACAACACTGTAAATTAATATAAACAACACTGTAAACAACTGTTTACAGGTCAGAGTAAACAAACACATCAGCTGTGTTTACATCCAGTTGTATAAAGTGTGAACTGTTGGGATTTCTGTATAAACTGGTCATTAAATGTTCTGATCTTCATCAAAGACACAACAACAGACAAACAGTCTGCTTAAAGTTTTACCACACAAAAAGTGACGTGTTTCATGGTTTTATTGAACACAACATGTAAACATCCACAGTGCAGGGAGGAACAAGTCTGTGTAAGTTGTCCCAAAGGGTTCACCTACCAACCTGGAGTGCCCTGCTCTATAAAAACACAGTTTCCTGTTGTTAAGAAGCGTTGTGTGAACCATGCCTCACACTAAAGAGCTCTCAGAAAACCCACGGTGAAGAATCATTGACCTGCATGAAGCTGGAAAGGGTTACAAAAGTGTCTCTTGATGTTTGCGTATCATCAGAACCGATCCACTGACGACGCAGTCGACACTGGAACCAACTCTCTGCAGTTWGGTGCTGAACTTCCTGACAGTCAGTCAGAACTGGCAACCACCGCACATCCTGCATAAGAACTGTCAGCACTGGGACACCCCAGGGCTGTGTGCTGAGCCCCCTGCTGTACGCACTCTACACATCTGACTGTGTGTCCTCACACAACAACAACAGTATCATCAAGTTTGCCGATGACACTGCAGTCATCGGACTGATCACCGGTGGGGGTGAGACAGCGTACAGGAGGAGGTGTCTGAGCTGGTGGAACGGTGTGATCGCAACAACCTTTCCGTAAACATAGACAAGACCAAGGAAATGATTGTTGGTCCAAGGATGAAGAGGCAGGACCACCACACACACCTGCTTATTGGTGAGACAGAGGTGGAGAGGGTGGGAACTTTCAAATTCCTTGGCGTGCACATCAATGAGGATCTCACCTGGTCACACACCAACCACACCGTCCAGAAGTCCCAGCGGCAGCTGTACTTTCTGAGAAGTTTGGCATGTCGACCAAAATGCTCTGCAACTTTTACAGGAGTACTATGGAGAGCATCCTCACCAGTTCCATTAAGGTCTGGTATGGAAACTGCACCACTCAGGATAGGAAGGCTCTCCAGTGTGTGATAAAGACTCAGTCCATCTCCAGAGCAACCTTCTCCACACTGCAGGACATCTACAGGATCAGGGTCATCAGAAAGGCCCACAGCATCATGAAGGACAGTACTCACCCCCAACACAACATCTTCACGCCCCTGCTGTCGGACCGATGGTGTAAGAGTGTGAAGTCCAGGACAACCAGGCTGACAG